CGCGGGAGGAGTCAGGCTGGCTCTGAGGGGGAGCGATAGAAAGATAGGAAGAAAAGGCGAGGAAACAAACACCGTATATAATAGTTTGGCAGGCTGCGGGTTCCGATGACCCTAGTGAAAATCAATTCGAACGTAACCGAGAGAAGGACAATGTTATTGTGTTTCCCTCGCACATCTCTCGTTGTAACGATGCAAAGTCGAGGGTATTCTTTGCCGATTTCATGTGGACAGTGTATTTCCGCCTAGAGGCCAAACTAACAAATATATATGCAGCACGTAAACAAGGTTGTCACGCAATCGAAAGGGTTGTACCCCGGCAAAAGAGACTTGAGGGCTGCGACATGGCGCGGACTGGGAAAGTGAGAGGGAGAACAACGTTGAGTTGAGGTCCGCGGTGCCTTCCAACCACGCTCATCAACGAGAGAGCACACACCAAGCCAAACGGAGCCTACACTAATGCCGAGGTTTGGTCGGGCGTATCAATCCCCCCTTCGCTAGATGTTAGACGCTCGGTTCCTCCTTCAGGACATGCACATACATATCATAGCTCCACAAATACCCTCGCCCGAACCTAGGAAGCCGCTACGTAGGTGTGTGATGGAGTGCTTGTAGTGAAACAGGAGCTCTAGTGAGCCGGCAGGGCTCACATGAGGGGAGGGGACAGAGACGTACAGAAGTACCAGCTTATGGCCCTTCACTGATCGTTTGATTGATCAATATCGGAATATACGAACATACAGTAGGTGAGGCAGATAGACGCTTGATCATTTCAAGGTCTACAAGGGTACCTGCCCTACCGGCCGCAGCGTGACCACCCATCACCCCTTCTATGACTCTGTCTGTGGCCACCACCCCGTCGCGGGCTGCCAGCATGCTTTATAGGTTGAGATAGTTGTTGCGTCTGCAAAAGTACACTGCTGCCTTTTGCTGCACTTCTGTCTCTGTTTTTGTCTGCGGTGGAAAAAAAAAATCGACGCCGAAACGGAACCTAGGGCCAAACACCGGCTTTCATGTCAAGACAATATATGGAGGGAGGTACTGGGCTGAGCTACCTCACGACGTTTTTCACCGTGACGGCAGCACAAAATATCACCACAACCACCGCCACCGGTCTTCAATGATGCGAGAAAAACAACCTCAACACCCCGCCACCAAAACAATCACCACCACCGCCACCAACAGACAAAACAACAAAAAACAACCATCGATGCACGCAACCACGCACCTCTTCCAGAGCGCGTCCGTCCTCCTCTTGAACCCGACCGCAAAGCAAACCGCCGGCGCGAGGCCCAG